ACTTTCGATCCTTTCTGGGATTTGTCACTACCCATACCACGAAGAACTGGCCAATTGCGTTTATCACTCATTAGATATGAGCAATTATGCAGCAGACAATGTGACGCCTTTCCGTTAGAATCTATATGCGCTTTCGAATCACAGTGGTTGTACCTACAGCGGACAGTATACAGCATTCGGCAGACATCCCTATACTGGCACGTGGCACGAATACAATGATTCAAACGTGTCACCAATTTCACCAAAATTTCTTGTGAGTGGAGACATACATCCTCTTTTATGAAAAGGAGGAAACGAGTTCGCACCTTTGACATTACCACAGCGGTTGCTTCCATGATGCAGGTGATTTTAATGTTATAATGAACTATATTCATGTTCTTCATACTACTTTCAATACCTATTTGAATGTGCACTCGCCGATCCATTTCATCTTGTATGTTCTGAATTTATTTCAACTCTTATACTAATTTGAGAATAAATTAGCGAGTCTCGAATATATTTTTTTCAGAACATGTCCAGTTTCGTCAGCATAAAAACAATGCAAATAAAATTATTTTGAGGACTTAACAGATTCGTGACATTCCTCTTAATCAAATTTTTAGCCTGGAAATTTTGCAGGTTGACTACTCATGTATGAAATAGATCGCTCTTTATTCCGGAGGACGACACTTAGTGCATTGACTAGTAAGAATGAGTTATTTGAATCATGGAAAAATTATTCTTTTTTGACAAATTGGGTCAATGGTTATAGTAGTATTCTGTGGCAAGTTGAACATCAAGTATTCATAAACGGAATCCAAACACTTGTGCCCTGTTCGGATCGCCCCGAGAACTAGAGGCAACCGCCGTGCTATTCTGTTTCACGAGCTTTTGTTCGCACTAAGTAAGCACTAAAGTCAACAAAGTCTGTCTAACGCTCATCCTTCGCCACCAAAACTAAACCAAATACAGGCTTTCGGGAGTCGAACGAACCCTCCGTTATTATTTCAAGTGAATTTATTTGACTATAATTACTGCCGCAGCTTTGTCTTTATTCAAATCGAGCTGAATTTCGTGTTCCACTTTTATTTGCATAAATCTTAAGAAGATATGATAATATTGAAGAGCTGCTGGAGACCGGGATGGAATTGATAATTTCATAGTTGGATGTGGTGAGGTTTGGAGTAGCTCATTTTTTGGAAAGTGGCGTAGAGAATTCATTTGAATTGGTGCAGAGAGGTAATCCAATGCAAGTCAAGGTGTATTTATCTAAAAATGAATTCTTATTCACAAATTATGCTTTTGCTGAAATGTGAAATTGAACGCTCAGATGTAGTATGGATACAATTAAAACACTTCACTTCAAATGAGCTCGAGGAAATAGACCAATGGAATGCGTGATTTGAAAAAAACAGATTTACGTTGAGACTTGCCTGTTTGAATAAGAACAAAAAACAAAAAGTACGGGAAGGGACAAAGCAATCAGCAAATATCCATGACATGTAGGATTTCACAGGTGGAAAGTTAGCTTTAATCTAGATACAAGAAGAAAAATCTTAGGGAACCAATCAGAGATAAGTTATTGAATAAATGTAGAATGGGTCCAATAATAACCGCCTGAGATACTGTCATCAGTGGAATGCACAAAATAAAGTTTAAACTTTATCACACTGACTTTGGAAATGAGGTTGCAGGCTTGTAAAAGAAGAATATACAAAATATACGGTCTGATAGAAATACAAAAACTCTGAAAGTCACTGAGTTAGTTCAATTACCTACACCTCAAGTTTCTCCATTTGAAATAATATCAAGTGAATAATACTATAATTCTTTGTTCTTAACAGTAACCCATTGGTAAGAAGTTTCGTGTATTGGTATAGATATGTGGATGATATCCCGATATGTTTCAAGGAACGAACAGAAGTTGACTAACTTTTTGAATTTCATCAATTATCTCCACCCTCCTATCACATTCACATTGGAGATGGAAAAGGACAACTCTATACATTTTTTGGACATGACAATAACAAAAGTTAACAACAAACATGAATTTTCAATTTATCGTAAACCGGCACATACAGATATTATCATTCATAATTCGTCCACCCACCCGTATCAGCACAAAGTAGCAGCTTTCAACAGTATGATCCACAGACTGATAAATGTTCCCTTGTCAGAGATGAATTTCAATAAAGACTGAACATAATAAAACAAATAGTCGTCAACAATGATTACGATAGCAGTCTAATACATTCTTTATTATCAACAAAGTTATACAGTCAAGCTTTGAAAGAAGTTTACCCAATTCGAAGAGAAGAGGATAAAAGTTAAGAACCTTAACCTACTTAGGCCAACCCACTACAAAAATTTCAGATTTTCTGCAAAGCAAAGGTGTAAATATTGCTTTCAAAACCAACAACAACTTAGGCATGCACATTAAGAATAACAAAGATTTTATAGTGAAAATCATACAATAAACTATTGATTATCTTCAAGTATTTTTGGACTAGGTGGATGAAACCATATCTGATGAAAAAGGTGTTTTTGAAAATTAGAACATATGAAAGTGTTTTCAGAGAACTGTGAGCACTAGCGCAAGATTAAATTCCAGTTAACCCCTCTCTTTCAAAATTACCCTGAAATTTTCCTGTACCTACTTCTCTCTATTCACATTTGAAGAATTATTGATGTGTTACTAAATCATATATTACCCTGACCAGATGAAAAGATGAAAAGTTTCGGCGTCTTCCATGGCATCAATTCTTTCATAGGTAATATTCTGTCATTATTAAATGAAGTGATCGTGATGAAACTTATGAGCTCCATTTGAAGTAAAGCTTTGTGAACCAATTGTTCAAATCATCTGAAGGAATAGGTTTGCTTCATCAAAATCTGCTATATCATACAGAGGCCAGATAGCTATACAGAGAAAAGGTATTGAAAAGGTTTCCAGAATTCGAAGTTGAATTGATGATATGCTCAAAAGAGTATGGTTTATAAAATTAGCACTTTTCTGTCTTCAAGGTTCAATATATCAAGTGCTAGGTAAATACAAAACTTGCATGATTTTCTTGGGCATAAGAAGAAATAAAAAATCTTATATATATTATCGTACGGTATGCTCAAAATGGAGTTGCATTTCTACAACATTCGATGGAGAAAATATCAGAGAATCCAAAGCTTTCAAACGCTCTGCTACCACCTTTGGCCATTTTTTGCAATGATGAATATCATAACAAAATCATATCACTAATGTTAAACCAGCCCATTCAGAGATCCAAATTCAGTTTTTTTATATCAAATCTAAAGTCGAACATAAACTTTACAATTTCTGATAATATTCTGCTATTCAATTACATGAACCAGGATCATTTCCAATGTATCCAGATTTTATTGAATTCTCTTTATTGTGCGATGGCGTTATTTATTGGTACTCAACGCCACTTTTAGTGAAAACATGAAAAAAACATGTTTTCAAAATTGGTGTCAGGTGTGGGTTTTCTCTTCAAGAAGTTGAATCTGAGTTCAATCCAAAGTAAATATAGACTTTCTTGGTAGACAGCATTCAGGAAATAATAGCGTCAACCTATAACTATGACCATTCGCTCATCGGTGCAAATCGTCTGCACGTCATTACACCTCACTGACGCATATATAATATCAATTATTCGGTCCGTCTGTTCCCAAGGTAACGCCACGCATCGTTTCAGGTTAATTCACATCATTATCCCGTATTCCCCGCTAGGATAATTGAAATGTTTTAAAGGCTTTCTGGATGGGTCTTAAATGTTTTATATATACCAATTTCAGACGCGGAATGAGTCGCGCAGATTGCCCGTTTCAATAAAAGATTTATGGGGATGAGCGAGCTAGAGCTTCAAAGTTGGTCGGTTCGGAAATGAATTTGAATGTGGGTGGTATGAGGAATGTGATGTCAGAGAAATTAGTTGATGAGCACTGAAAACTTGTTTAGTAAATAACTTAGTGACTTTCTTTTTGTGGGTTCGCGTCAGTTTATGAAATTTATTTGATAAGGCTTTCGTATTTTAGTCCGATCATCACGGAAGTCAACTCTTGTAGGAGCTCACTTTCGGTAATAAATATTCCTACAGTAACTCTTTCTGTTCACTATTACCTGCTGTAGATATTCATTAACTTGCCACTTTCATTAGTTTACATATAGAACATTTAATTTCCTTAAAACTTCATCTTTCATAGCAAACTACATACATACATAAACACAACTGTGTATGTAACTAAATAACATTTGAAAAACTGATCAATACAGTTTATCGTATGATTTTCACTATAAAAGGGCTTTGGAAAAACCGCGACACGTGTTTCGCTATACAATAGCTTTCTCAAGCATAAACAAGTATCGCGGTTTTTGTAAAACCCTTTTATAGTGAAAATCATACAATAAACTATTGATTAGTTTTTAAATATGGATTTTCATTAAGTATCGGTCAGTTCTATTCAATTAAATAAAATTTTTATAAAGAACCTTTACGTTGATTGTCAAGTTGAAATGAATAAAGAGAAGATAATGAATGCCACTTTCTATTTTTACCATATAGAATTTGTCTTTCATAATTGATTCCATGTTTGAAGTTTCTGTAGTTAATCGTGACTAGCAACTATAGGGTTCAAATTCTATGTATGTACACTTTGCACTTGGCGGAACAGATGTCAGCATATTACATTTATTGCTGAAACAAATTCTAACCTATTACCTATCCTAACTCAAGTACAACTTGAATTTGAAGAAACATATCATTCGTTGTAAAATAATTTCAATTAGATTTTTTTCAGTTCTGTTTGAACTAGTTCAATGTATATGGACAGGTCAGGTTAGATTTGTTTGTTATATCAATAGGTTCGTTCCAACCTTGAGTCACAAACAGATTTCCAACTGTTTGTAAATCGTTGTCAACGCGCATGTCTGTTAAATATTGGTTTCTGATCAATTTGAAATTTCTGATTGGAACATCTGATAGTTCAACTGAAGTTTGGAATGGAATTTCAACATAACCTTTAAAAATAAATCTAAACAAGTGTATTTCTGAAGAGTAAAAGAAGGTTGCAGTATTTTATATATCTGTTCTATTTAATAATCAACATGGAACTGGGAGGTAAGTCGGTCACCGCAATAATTAATTTGTGTAATTGAAGATGTTCATATTTTAGGTTCACTTAAAAAATTCTTAATTTCTCCTGCTCCAGCAGTGGTTAACACAGAACAATCAACATTACACCCATACCAGCCCAGACTACAAGAAAAACGTGAACATGAATTTGTTGCTAATTGGACTAGTGACCAGACAAAAGTGATGCTAGATCTTTATAAAAAATATCGTCCAAAGGTTGGGAGTTTCCAAATCAAGAATTTAAAAAGGCTATGGGAAGTTTTAGCTGCAGAAATGAATGAGATTCTTGAATCTAACTACAGTTCAAGTCATGTGGAGAATAGGTGGAGAGTTGTTGAACGGTCATACAAAAAATTTGTTGATAACCAGACAAAAACAGGGAGAGGCAAAAAATATTTTGAGTATCAAGAGGAGATGGACAATATATTTAGAGGCAAAAAAAATGTTAAGCCCGATGTTCTGTTGTCAACAGATACCATTGAACATGTAGAAGAAGTAGAGCCAGCCAATGAAGAACCTATTCAATCTACCTCAAATTCAGCTACAGCTACATTTCAGACCCTAGGAAAAGGTTTATCATTGAAACGAAGAAATCCCGCAACAACTAAAAATCTCACCTTAGAGCAATTAAGAAGAGATAGGAAAGAATATTATAAAGAGAGAATAGAAGTTGAAAAACAGAAGTTAGAAGTTGAAAAGCAGAAAGTAGTATTAATGAAGGAAAGAAATAATCTGTTCAGAGAAAGAAATGAGCTCCTGAAAAGAGACTCTAACTAACTTTATAAATCCACTTTGTGGAATTTTTTACCAAAGAATTATGATTTAATTTTAGTATTCATTATTTAGTTTAAGTTTGTGGAGTATACTTTTCATCCATTCAACAGATGGGGATCTTAGACTTTAAGGAAATGAATGAGCTCCTAAAAAGAGACAAATTGTTGATTTTTTTTACCAAAGAATTATGATTTAATTTTAGTATTTATTATTTAGTTTATGTTTGTGGAGTATACTTTTCATCCATTCAACAGATGGGGATCTTGGACTTTAAGGAAATGAATGAGCTCCTAAAAAGAGACAAATTGTTGATTTTTTAACAAAGAATTGTGATATAATTTTAGTAGGTTTATTTTCGTGGAAGGTATTGAGTTCATTAGTTCAAATAAATATGAATATGCATCGGATATATGTACAATTGAGTTATGTGAGAATGTGTTGGGGTGAATAAATAAAAATAAGCAGAAACCCTTAGAAATTCCTTGTATTATTCATAAATTCACAACCATAATTGTTCTACCTATTTGCATATTTCAAGACAGATTGATCTCAGCTTGACGACCTTTACAGTCGTAAAGTGTTTGCTACCTGATCCCTAATAGCATGGGCTCCCATGTCTTCTACATCATCATCATCATCTGGTTGTTCATCACCTGGTGCAACCTGCTCATTATTTACGTCCACTTCCACTGCATCATTGTCCACAATGAAGTTGTCATCTAATGCAATGTTATGGAGTACACATGCTGCTCTGATAAAATGACAAATTATCCTAATTTTCCTTATTTTTACATGGTACATCTGTCAAAACTTCTGTTTTAATAAACCAAAACAATGTTCTATGACATATCGATTTTTTGATAACTTTAAATTATAATTTTGCTGTCGTCTAGTTAAGTTGCCCCTATCTTTATAAGGGGTTAATAAATTAGGAAGCAGAGGATAACCACTATCTCCCAAAAGATAATATCTGCCACATTTCTCTTCCAGTCTGTTTTTCAATGGAGAGTTTCTGAATACTCTGCTATCATGCACCGAACCAGAAGTTTACTAATGGTTGCAAACTCATGTTGGAACACAATCACATTACTGCGCAGAATCCTGACTGTCAGAAACTGTTTCTGACGCTGGTTGGAACGAACCTAATATCGGTATACCTATTCCGTGATATTGACAACATATAATAAAAGCTTGAGTAAAGCGACGATATCATTCAGAACATGATTTTAAAAAATAGCTATTTTTGATATGACTGACAGAAGTAAGGTTTTATTTTGTGAGTGAAAAAGTTTGCGAAACGAGCGTAGCGAGTTGAGCAATTTCACGAACAAAATAAAACTTACTTTTAACACAAATATCATACAAAGTTTTTTTACAACTGTCCTGTTCTCATAATAAAATAGATAAATTTAATATTTCTATAAAAACACATTTTGAGATCTCTTGTCAGTTAACTATTTTCATGTTATCGCATTTGCTGTGAAGTGCCGTGTCAGGTGACGCCGAATCACCTGGTTACCAACAAACAGTATTGTTTACAGCTCACGCGTTTTATTTAAAGTCACATTTAAAGTTCTTGCTGGTGTTTAATGTATGTAATTTATTTTTAACAGAATTAAATTGTATATATCTATATCCATTTTTCACAATGAAACTTCGTTGAAAATTGAATAATTATGTTCGTTTATTGCTATTTGGTCGAAAAAAATCCTATTAAAAATACTGTTAACACTAGTGTTAAAAATATTTTCAACACGCTACTTTGTAAACATCATCTTTTCATACTCTTGACAACCATTAAAAATGCCACTTTTAATGACAGTTGTACAAAAAGTTTTTGATGTTGAATGAAAGTTTTGTAATTAGTGAAAACATTTGAATTGTGTAAATGCAAATCTGTTGTATGCGGTTGTGAAAAAATTGTCATTTTACGACTTTTTCAGTAGTTTCGACTTTTGAGTGCCCGTATTTCTAAAAGAAGACCAGAGCGCCAAGTTTAGACTTCAAGTGCGAAAAACAAAAAAATGTGAGTCTAATAAAAACATTTCTAAAAAAATATCGTGACCCCAAAAAACGAAATTATACCTACTTCAGCACAGTGGACCTCCAGTGAGATTGAGGTGAATGAAAAGTACATGTACTACAGAAATAACTTTCATTTCTCAACAAATTTTTTGATGATCGGGACAAAAATTCTGATGTTAAAACGTTCACTGGAATCAGACTTGGCAACACCGTAGAAGTTTTTCATTACTAACCGAATACTTCAGTTAATTGTGGGAGTCTGGTCTTGTCATAATCATGATCTATTATTTTTGAAGAGTAAAATTGTGAATTCCAGTTTAGTATACCAGTGCTATGGAAGCGCTTCAACTGTGTCTGAATAATGTTATCTTGAATGTTTATATTCTGATTTCAGTTGATTCACTTCCACCCTAAATATGCCACTGTCCATTTCATTTGGGATAAATGAAAATTTTTATCTGATTTCAATTCGATGAGAATGAAAACGTTGATTCTGAGAAGTTTTGTCGAATTTTTATTTTTCAATTCTTTAGAAGAAGTCATAAAAAATATTGCTGTTATAACTTCTCCAATACTTGAACTTGGGATTGAGTACAAGATCTGTGAGGTAGTCTCAGTTAGGGATGTATTCAAACCGAGCCGAGTTCGAATCAAAATTCGCCTCTTTGGAATTGTGAAATTTGGCATAAACGTAAATAATTTAAAAATGATTTTATTTTTAGATACTGCTTTGGCTATCCTGTATGTTATTTTTTTCTTCATTAGGTAGACAACCAGTTTACAACCTTCGTTATCAATATGTTATGTCGGGGTTCAGCAAAAATCAACCCTCAAAGGTTGAAAAGGAAGCTTATTTCTCATATTAGTTATATATAGTAGATAATTGAGGACCAATATACCTGTTTTTTTCATGAATATGGTTCACAGATTGAACAGACGTCAGGATCCTCTCATGGTTCGGATTAGCTTATTTGGCTCTCAGTGTATGATCATTGATTTTATGAAAGTAATAGATAGATAGATAGATAGATAGATAGCTCTTTATTTCCAACAGGTGTACACCCAATTACAGGAAATGTTAGAGAAAATATACTAAAAAAATATCATTCAATTCAATTAAATTCACATATTACATATTAAATTGATTCTATGTAAGATACAGTCTTTGATAAAGTTCAGAGAGTTTCCATTAATGTCACACATGTTACATACTAAATTAAAATTATAACACATTAAATTTACTGGTGCTTTGAGATTCACATTTGTTCTACTACTCTGACAATGAAATGTTTTCTCGTATCTTGAGTTGAAGCGTGTACAATGATGTGGATTTTTTTGTATGTTTCTTGAAACTTGATAGTTTCAGGGAAGAGAAGGAAGAAGTTCTTAATACTAAGTGATCTAGATTTACAGGAAGTTTATGTTTCTGTCACTAATTGACTTCTCTCTTCTTGCAAAATATGAACTCTACGAGCTTTCGTTAGGTTCGCCTTATCATTCCCTAAGAATTGTCCCCTTCATCGTAGAAACACTTTGAATAATAAATTTCAATAAAAATGCGACTTCGCAAAAGGATGAGTCACCGCTGCCATTTCGATGCGTCGGTGCAGAAACACTAAACGGGATTTTACGATCTTCGAAAAGTCACTATTACGCGCTCACTATAAATATAACAATAAGGACCCTCGCTAATTCTGCGGGCGAGGAGCGTTCCTTATTCCTTTCGTCATAGTTCGACGGGAAGTGTCCTGATTTTCTTATAGCGCTGGAAAATTATTCACAAAGAACCAGGAAGTTTTTTTCTCCTAGTAAATTTAAACCTAATCGTAGAGTTTGAAATTTTCGCTATTCAAAAATTCGAATGGATTTGAAATAGTTCTGTTTGGAATATGTATTTCCGTTAACCAGCTTTTATCGTTTAATGAATGACAACCCTTAAAATTCGAAATTGGTGTGATATGAGGATTAACGATGTCTTGACTTCTAACATGCGATTCCTGACACGGGTTGGATGATACGCAGTGAAAATCGATTGTTTGACCGTATGGCTCCAACCACTGTTCCACGTAGCGGTCGATCAAATGAGTAAAATCAAAAGAACTCTCAACCGTTTTCATTGTTGGTATTACGAACCTATTACTGCAAGTTATAATAAGTCACTTATTGATTAGATAGATTGACAATTGTTCAATATGTAGTAAGTCTCTTGTTTTTTCAAAATAATATGAATGAGGTTAGCTTTGGATCACTTGGTATCTTGTTGGTGAATTCTAACATGCTGGTTCGATAAGTTGATTTATTCTTACTGGATATTCTTTTTGTGTTCGGTAATATAAACTCTCAACGGCTTCTTAGTTTCAACAATTTAATACTTCCGTTTTTATACGGTATCCGGCAAAGGCAATTCTTAGAGTCGCTGTTAGAGTTTAGTGGCCTAAATCCAATTCTTTCTATATTCTCGTCACCAGTGCTTTGACAAAAGCGTTGTTTATAGCGGTTTCTCTTCCTTGTTCGATGGCGTCCAGTTTCTTTCTGTTGAGAAAATGCTCTTTCGCTAACCAGCTGTCGATCCTTCCCCTTGGAACGACAACCCTCAACAGCCTTTCAACGTGCGATTATATTTCCTTGAAATAATAATTGCGCCGTGCAACTTGTCGAAATTCTCTTCACAATCGCGTCTAAAAATGGCAGTTCATTTTGGGAAGATCTCACACTAGCTACATGAATCCATACTATGAAAATGGCGGTAACGTATTTCAACCACGTGCATGTTTTCTTGTGGACTTTTTCAATAGACACTATTTCGAACCGTTTTGCGAAAAAACGAGTGGTAGTGGCAGTACTATTCGCCCTCAGCCTCACAAGAAATTCTTTTTATATCTATACCTAATTTCGCATTCAGAAAGATTCTTCTTTATAATTTCACGTTTTTCTGCGACAGGCAAGGTGGCCTTTTCAATTGTTGTATACATTCTATTCCTTCCATTAAGTTAACAAAATTTCTTGAACTACCCAAAAACGATATTTTTGCAATAACTGAATGATAGATTGCGTGGCGTGAATGGAATATTATGGAGAATGTATGAATACGTGTTGCAATTTTTCAAGATATTCATACGGATTTTGGGCTGACTTCCAGCTGCAGTGCAATTTTCCTGATACTATTTGAAGGACCTTCTTCTATCGCATCAAGTATAGCTTCTCCTTCCACCCCCTGCATTTTTTTTAACTCCCAGTTTCACATGATCTTACATGCAGCATTCTCAGTGTTTCAGCACATGGAATTACTCTATTAAGATATATTCTGGTAAATTATGCGTTTTTCTTCCGCATTTCCATTTGCAAACGAACCACTCTCTGAGGTTTCGTACCGTAGTTAGAAAACACCCTGTATTTTATCATAATTTTTCCTCATCTGTTTGGTATAATTTCCGTAACTGCAAGAGACAGATT